ATTTTTATTCATTAAATTAAATAAAATTAATATTTTTAAAAATAATATTTTATTATTTTTGGTAATCCTAACATTCTGGGTGGTGGCCGTAACCCTGCCCCTAAATTTTAAGATACATGTAAGTTTTTTTGGCTGCAACATCAATGGAGATTGTTCTCTTGGTAGAGCTGTTATGAGATGTGGAATTAATTCTTTAACTATATGTTTGGAAACATGATTTTTATAGAAAGTATTTGAATTTGGGTCTTTTTAATTTAATGTTAGTGTTTGTTTTTAGAAAGTAAATATAAAATTAAATTTAAATCAAATACATGTAATTAAATTCATGTACTTCATTACATTAAATTAGATATTTTAATTATCTTTTCAATTCATGTATTTCAAATTTAAATTCATCTATTTTAACCCTCTCCTCCTTGGAAAAATTCCAATGGAGCTCGATGGTGGATAATTTCAGTTAGATATGAAAGCGCCATATGACCAATCTCTAACAGAAAGATGGAAAACAATTTATCGTCAATCTTCGATTGTTCCCTTCAAAGATCTCTATTTCTTGTCCCTCTTTGTACTTGGGAGGAATCTTCTTGATTTCACAAGAATCTTGATTCATCTTGAAATACTGCAAATCTCCTCCCAAAAATAAAGTTTGGTTTTTGTTCTCCTTTTCAAACCCAGTCTGCGCATTCCGTGGGTTCATATTTGGTAAGTTTTATTTGTTTCTATGGAATACTCTTCATCTCCAAATAATTTGGCCAATCAGAATTTTTCTTTGGTGGCTGATGCTAGATTTTGGTATTAGAGCTTTTGGGTGTTTTGATGATGGTTTTATCCGTAAGCTTGGTAATGGCTCAAACACTAGATTTTGGAAGGATGCTTGGATGGGCAGCTCTCCATTGATGTTTTCTTTCCCTTGCCTTTTTTGCCTTACATTAAGCAAGGATACTCTGGTTGTCGAATTGAAGCTGGGTAATTAATGCAGATGGGTGGACTTTTCAGTGGCGCAAACCTCCTTTCAGTAGAGAATTGGATGAGCTTGAGAGGCTTGAAGATTCTCTCCGAAATCTTAATTTATCAGATGTAAGAGTTGACAAGTTCATTTGGAAGCACTGCTCAATAGGTTATTCCTCCAAGCAAGCTTACAAATTTCTTGATGATTTCCCTCCTGCCTTGATGAGAAATGTTGCAAGGTGATTTGGAATCAATTTATTCCATCAAAAATTAGTGTTTTTGCATGGCGCCTCTTCTTGAATAGACTACCCATTAAAGACAATCTCCTCAATCGTGGTATTGACCTTTCTTCCAACCCAAAATATGTTTTTTGTGGTGATAGTGTGGAAGATATTAACCACATCTTTGCATTGTGCCAATTTTCCCCAAACATTTGGACCTAATTATACTGCTGATGGGGAACTCCTTTTTCTCCCGTTGGTAACGCCCCCCTCCTTCTTTTGCAACTTTGTTCACTTAAGCCTGGCATAAAATCTCAAAGTTGTTGGGTGCTTTCTGTTGTTACAACAACATGGGCCATTTGGTATTTTCGTAATGGTATCATGTTTAACAACCTTACTTGGAATAAAAATACTATCTTTGAGTTAGTGTTAATAAAGACCTTTGGTTGGATAAAGGGGAAATCTAAATCTGCTATATTCAATTACAGTTATTGGTGTCAGTTCCCAGTTCTATGTGAAACTTAATTTTGCCTTTTATTTTGCAAAAGGTGAGTGGAATTTTGATAACGATGATGGGAGTATTGTAAATATGGGTTAGAGTACCCTTTGTACTCTATATTAATAAAAAATTTTATTTGGCTGATCAAAAAATAAAGATTTTGGTATTAGAGATTTTTTTGCTTCCTATTTGTTAACAAATGGGATGAAAATTGTTATATGGCTCAGGCATGTTGGTGAGAGTTACAAAGGATTGTCATGGAAGTGTTTATATGCCTCAATAAATATATTGAATATTAAATTTATTTTTCTTTAAAAAAAAACAATTAAAGCATTTTGATAATTAAAATATTAAATTTTTTTACAAAATTATTTTAACACATTTAATAAATCTTTCGTATATATTGATTTATTAAGGGTATTAAATAATTTAATATGGAATCTTATAATTTAAAATCCCTTTTTATTATGTTAAAGTGGGTAAAGACATGCTTTCCTCTAACTTATACTTTTTATTAAAATTATATTATATATTTACTTCTTAAATTTAAATATGTAATAACTAGATGCAGCATTTGCTTTGCCTGTCGATAACATGGCTGGTTAGGGTGGGATCCTAAGCTGATCTTTTTGCCCCAAAAGCTAAAATATCATATCGGACTTTCCAATGTTTTAGATGCATAATAGAATGCTTCTTTCATATGTGCTCTCGCCTCTATAACAATTGTTCTAGCAATTGTTCTACATAATTTCTAGTAATTAAGGTTTATTTGTTCTTAATTGTTCATCTAGCTTCATAAGAATTATAATGATAATCTAGTGCATGTTTGGTGCAATTGGGAGGTGTTTTTAGGGCCTAAAAGCCTAAAAACTCAAACTGTATCAAACACCACAACTTTTGAAAAATATAAGTCCTTCTCACAAGTTAATCTTTTCCCATTCTAATGCAATTTTCAGAAGTACGAAACGAAATTCGTGTTTCTGCGGTAACTTTTACTTCTCATTTTAATGAAATTTACTCATTCTTCTTATTTTATCCTCACACTTCTTTTTATTTACAAAAAAATCACTATATATAGGTTCCAATTTATAACATCACCCACCATTACCAAGCAACCCGGGCATATCTGTTTCTTCCTCGTCTTCTTAACCATTTTCTTTCTCATCCAATCAGAGAAGCAAACAAAAAATCCTTATCGTATTTTTTCTCGTCTTCTTTCTCCCTAAACCAAATATCCCTCATCTTTGGTTCGGAGACGAACCC